AACCTCCCACACAAAGGGAAGAGGGAAGCTTAGGGAACAGTGCAGAAAGCCTTAGCTTCTCTGTAGTGACTTCCGTAGGTGTCCCAATATCTGTTATTTCTGCTAAATACCACTGCTAGTTCCACAGTGGGGCAAACCCTGCTCTTCTAGCGGAATGATTCTGAGGAAACTCAGTGTAGATATCCATGAACGTTTGTAGCCAACTATGGGGAAAAAAAACTGTGTAAAGTCTTATGAAGGAGAGAGTGTAAAAGAGCACAGTTTGTATGACTCAATCTGTAATAGAAGCCATCTTAACCTGCCCCACTGGGAGTATTCTAGTGCAAAGGCAGTTGGCAGGGATGGGTGTGAGGGGCTCACTTTACTCTTAAAGATGTGGTACATAGAAATCCTGTCTTACAATTACATAACTACATACAGTACAGTTTCAAAGTTGAATGGTTGACACTTTTCTCAGTAATAAATGTCTCATTACCAATCTGCCACTAGAGGTCATTCTCCAACTCCAAATCACATACAGTAACGTAGGTGTAGCAATGCATGTGTGTTTTCCTTTGTATGCGTCCAAAAGGGGTTCACAGATCTGTCTGAACAATCTCATTTTGTTACAGAGCCAGGCAATCATTCTTCAGTTGTCATAAATTGCAACCACAAATTTTGCTAAAGGGGGCTAACTGGCTCACACGATTGATGATGTACTATTTTCTTCCCCCACTGTCACTGATGTATATCTAGTCCAGGTTGTTAGTGACTGAAAGTCTTTATATGATGACTGTTTGATGGAAATGATCTTGGAGGTGGCCCTCCACGGGTCACCTTTGAGGCAAGTTTTTGGAGCACCCTGGGGATACCTACCTGCTTTGTAGTTAAATAGACACATTTATTTTCAGGAGTTTGTTGCTAAGCAAAGGAGTTCCAGTATTAATCATTAATAGTAAATTCATTAACAAATTCAATAACAAATTCAGTTACTTATTGCACAGGTTTCCCTTCACTATGGTCCAATTTCTGAAGATATTTCTTTCGAGTTAGAGAGGAGGAGGACTCAATTATTTGGTGTCTGCTTTATAACATACTATTATCCATACAATAACCACTGAACATTCAGCAGTATATCATATCCCACAACCTAAGGTACCCTGGCGGCACCACATCTCCCCAAACAAGATTACATTATATATTCATAGATTCCAAGGTCAAAAGAGACCATTGTGATCACCTAGTCAGACCTCCTGCATAATACAGGCCAGAGAACTTCCCCCGAACAATTCCTAGAGCAGATCTTCTGGAAGAAGATCCAAACTTGATTTAAAAGTTTTGAGTGATGGAAAATCCACCATGACCTTTGGCAAATTGTTCCAGTGGTTAATTATTCTCACTGTTAAAAATTTACTCCTTATTTCCAGTCTGAATTTGACTAACTTCAACTTCCATCCACTGGAACATGTGATACCTTTCTCTGCTAGATTGAAGAGCCCATTATTAGCTATTCCTCAAGTAGATACCGACACACTGTATACAAGTCACCCCTTAACCAATGCAGCCTTCTTCCTCGATTGTGACTTTTTGGGCATCTAATAAGGTGTTCTTCAATTATTCCCAATCATTCACATTTTTCTGATTAAATTCTTTCTCCCAGCTGATTGGCTCATAATTGTTTTCAGCTTTGTGAAATTGGCTCGATTAAAGTACCAGATATATATATTACTGGTCTGAACTTTATTCTGCTTGCACGTTATAAATGTGATCAAGATCATTTATACCTAAGCTACCATTTTTTTAGTTCAGTGATCAGTTCCTCTCTATCTGTTAGTACGGGACCTAATAAAGAATTCCCCTGTATTGGCTGCAACACTTTTTTGAGTTAGGAAATTGTTATCTATAATGTTTAACAATTCCAAAAATGTTTTAGTACTGACTGCATGAGACCTCTGAAGTTTTAGGAGCAAAGAAGGCTACTTGTAGGGACTGGGAACAAACCACACAGCAGGGACTGAATCCTATGGCCTAGGCTCCTTGTGGTTGGATGTTTTTCTTTGACTGGCTTGCACTGGCAGCTCAGGCTTCAGGGATGGACTCCTAGGATGAAATAGTGACACCACTGAAGTCCATAGCAAAATTCTTATTGATTTCAATACAGCCAGGTTTACACTCCTGGAGAGTGGGGCCTTTGACCTACTCCTCCGGCAACCAGTCTCCGTCCAGTTCCCAGGCTCTGGATCTGGGCTTGTGGCCAAAATTACTTCTGAATCAAAACTAAGTTTAGGTCAGGTGATCTAAAAGCTACTGAGCTAGGCAGCTTTGTATTTACTTCTGGTTTGCAGTGTCTTAGGGTATGTCTACACTATGAAATTAGGTCGAATTTATAGAAGTCAGTTTTTTAGAAATCAGTTTTATATATTCGAGTGTGTGTGTCCCCACAGAAAATGCTCTAAGTGCATTAAGTGAATTAACTCGGCGGAGCGCTTCCACAGTACCGAGCTAGAGTCGACTTCCGGAGTGCTGCACTGTGGGTAGCTATCCCACAGTTCCCGCAGTCTCCACCACCCATTGGAATTCTGGGTTGAGATCTCAATGCCTGATGGGGCTAAAACATTGCCGCGGGTGGTTCTGGGTACATATCCTCAGGCCCCCGTTCCCTCCCTCCCTCCATGAAAGCAAGGGCAGACAATCATTTCGCGCCTTTTTTCCTGAGTTACCTGTGCAGACGCCATACCATGACAAGTATGGAGCCCGCTCAGGTAACCGTCACTGTATGTCTCCTGGGTGCTGGCAGACGCGGTACTGCATTGCTACACAGTAGCAGCAACCCATTGCCTTGTGGCAGCAGATGGTGCAATAGGACTGGTAGCCGTCATCGTCATGTCCGCGTCGGCCGGGAGCGCCTGGACAGACATGGGCGCAGGGACTAAATTTGGAGTGACTTGATCAAGTCATTCTCTTTAGTCCTGCAGTCAGTCCTATTGAACCATCTTATGGTGAGCAGGCAGGCGATATGGATTGCTAGCAGTCGTATTGTACCATCTTCTGCCAGGCAGGCAAGAGATGAGGATGGCTAGCAGTCGTATTGTACCATCTTCTGCCAGGCAGACAAGAGATGTGGATGGCATGCAGTCCTTCTGCACCATCTGCTGCCAGCCAAAGATGTAAAAGATAGATGGAGTGGATCAAAACAAGAAATAGACCAGATTTGTTTTGTACTCATTTGCTTCCCCCCCTTCCCCCATCTAGGGGACTCATTCCTCTAGGTCACACTGCAGTCACTCACAGGGAAGGTGCAGTGAGGTAAATCTAGCCACGTATCAATCAGAGGCCAGACTAACCTCCTTGTTCCAATAAGAACGATAACTTAGGTGCACCATTTCTTATTGGAACCCTCCGTGAAGTCCTGCCTGAAATACTCCTTGATGTAAAGCCACCCCCTTTGTTGATTTTAGCTCCCTGAAGCCAACCCTGTAAGCCATGTCGTCAGTCGCCCCTCCCTCCGTCAGAGCAATGGCAGACAATCGTTCCACGCCTTTTTTCTGAGCGGACGCCATACCAAGGCAAGCATGGAGGCCGCTCAGCTCTCTTTGGCAATTAGGAGCACATTAAACACCACAGGCATTATCCAGCAGTATATGCAGCACCAGAACCTGGCAGAGCGATACCGGGCGAGTAGGCGATGTCAGCGTGGTCGCGTGAGTGATCAGGACATGAACACAGATTTCTCTGAAAGCATGGGCCCTGCCAGTGCATGCATCATGGTGCTAATGGGGCAGGTTCATGCTGTGGAACGCCGATTCTGGGCTCGGGAAACAAGCACAGACTGGTGGGACCGCATAGTGTTGCAGGTCTGGGACGATTCCCAGTGGCTGCAAAACTTTCGCATGCGTAAGGGCACTTTCATGGAACTTTGTGACTTGCTTTCCCCTGTCCTGAGGCGCATGAATACCAAGATGAGAGCAGCCCTCACAGTTGAGAAGCGAGTGGTGATAGCCCTGTGGAAGCTTGCAATGCCAGATAGCTACCGGTCAGTTGGGAATCAATTTGGAGTGGGCAAATCTACTGTGGGGGCTGCTGTGATGCAAGTAGCCAATACAATCAAAGTTCTGCTGATATCAAGGGTAGTGACCCTGGGAAATGTGCAGGTCATAGTGGATGGCTTTGCTGCAATGGGATTCCCTAACTGTGGTGGGGCCATAGACGGAACCCATATCCCTATCTTGGCACCAGAGCACCAAGCCAGCGAGTACATGAACTGCAAGGGGTACTTTTCAATAGTGCTGCAAGCTCTGGTGGATCACAAGGGACGTTTCACCAACATCAACGTGGGACGGCCGGGAAAGGTACATGACGCTCACATCTTCAGGAACTCTGGTCTGTTTCAAAAGCTGCAGGAAGGGACTTTATTCCCAGACCAGAAAATAACTGTTGGGAATGTTGAAATGCCTATATGTATCCTTGGGGACCCAGCCTACCCCTTAATGCCATGGCTCATGAAGCCGTACACAGGCAGCCTGGACAGTAGTCAGGAGCTGTTCAACTACAGGCTGAGCAAGTGCAGAATGGTGGTAGAATGGTGCATTTGGACATTTAAAGGCGCACTGGCGCAGTTTACTGACTCACTTAGACCTCAGCGAAACCAGTATTCCCACTGTTATTACTGCTTGCTGTGTGCTCCACAATATCTGTGAGAGTAAGGGGGAGACGTTTATGGTGGGATGGGAGGTTGAGGCAAATCGCCTGGCCGCTGGTTACGTGCAGCCAGACACCAGGGCAGTTAGAAGAGCACAGGAGGGCGTGGTACGCATCAGAGAAGCTTTGAAACCCAGTTTCATGACTGGCCAGGCTACGGTGTGAAAGTTCTCTTTGTTTCTCCTTGATGAAACCCCCCGCCCCTTGGTTCACTCTACTTCCCTGTAAGCTAACCACCCTCCCCTCTTCCCTTCGATCACTGCTTGCAGAGGCAATAAAGTCATTGTTGCTTCACATTCATGCATTCTTTATTCATTCATCACACAAATAGGGGGATGACTACCAAGGTAGCCCAGGAGGGGTGGTGGAGGAGGGAAGGAAAATGCCACACAGCACTTTAAGCACAGCACTTTAAACGTTTACAACTTTAAAATTTATTGAATGCCAGCCTTCTTTTTTTTGGGCAATCCTCTGTGGTGGAATGGCTGGTTGGCCAGTGGCCCCCCCACCGCGTTCTTGGGCGTCTGGGTGTGGAGGCTATGGAACTTGGGGAGGAGGGCGGTTGGTTACACAGGGGCTGTAGTGACAATCTGTGCTCCAGCTGCCTTTGCTGCAGCTCAGCCATACACTGGAGCATACTGGTTTGATCCTTCAGCAGCCTCAGCATTGAATCCTGCCTCCTCTCATCATGCTGCCGCCACATTTGAGCTTCAGCCCTGTCTTCAGCCCGCCACTTACTCTCTTCAGCCCGCCACTTACTCTCTTCAGCCCTCCACCTCTCCTCCCGGTCATTTTGTGCTTTCCTGCACTCTGACATTATTTGCCTCCATGCATTCGTCTGTGCTCTGTCAGTGTGGAAGGACAGCATGGGCTCAGAGAACATTTCATCACGAGTGCATTTTTTTTTCTTTCTAATCTTCACTAGCCTCTGGGAAGGAGAAGATCCTGTGATCATTGAAACACATGCAGCTGGTGGAGAAAAAAAAAGGGACAGCGGTATTTTAAAAGACACATTTTATAAAACAGTGGCTACAGTCTTTCAGGGTAAACCTTGCAATTAACATTACATACATAGCACATGTGCTTTCATTACAAGGTCGCATTTTGCCTCCCCCCACCGCGTGGCTACCCCCTCAACCCTCCCCCCTCCCCGTGGCTAACAGCGGGGAACATTTCTGTTCAGCCGCAGGCAAACAGCCCAGCAGGAACGGGCTCCTCTGAGTGTCCCCTGAAGAAAAGCACCCTATTTCAACCAGGTGACCATGAATGATATCTCACTCTCCTGAGGATAACACAGAGAGATAAAGAACGGATGTTGTTTGAACGCCAGCAAACATACACTGCGATGCTTTGTTGTACAATGATTCCTGAGTATGTGTTACTGGCCTGGAGTGGTAAAGTGTCCTACCATGAAGGACGCAATAAGGCTGCCCTCTCCAGAAACCTTTTGCAAAGGCTTTGGGAGTACATCCAGGAGAGCCACGAATGCCAGGGCAAAGTAATCCTTTCACATGCTTGCTTTTAAACCATGTATAGTATTTTAAAAGGTACGCTCACCGGAAGTCCCTTCTCCGCCTGCCGGGTCCAGGAGGCAGCCTTGGGTGGGTTCGGGGGGTACTGGCTCCAGATCCAGGGTGAGAAACAGTTCCTGGCTGTCGGGAAAACCGGTTTCTCCGCTTGCTTGCTGTGAGCTATCTACAACCTCATCATCATCATCATCATCATCTTCTTCGTCCCCAAAACCTCCTTCCGTGTTGCCCTCATCTCCATTGAAGGAGTCAAACAACACGGCTGGGGTAGTGGTGGCTGAACCCCCTAAAATGGCATTGGTGTGCATTGTACACTTCAAATACGCGACTAGTATCACTGCAAGGCACTTTAAATATCAGTGAGAGATCCAACATAGAACTGGACTAGCTACTGCTGCTCTCGTGACATTCAGCCACATCTGGAGAAACAAAGGTATTACCATGTAGTGTAAACTGAAATTGCTGCAGTCTTTTGTTGTTAGCCTCTTGCTGTATGCATGGGAGACATGGAAGTTAAGCAAACAGGACATTAAGAAGCTTTCTGCCTTTGAATTGAAATGCTGCAGGCAATGCATGTTAGCTATATCTCCCACAGGACAAACGAAGAGATAATCGCCTGAATTTACAGCATAACTGGACACCTGACATCAAGATGATCAAACAAAGAAAACTTCAGTTTGTGGGACATGCGGGTTGAAGGAGCGGAGGAAGGTTGCCAAAGCAAGTGTTGTAGGGGCTGGTGCCAGCGGCAAGGGATACCTGAAAGGGGCACTCAGTGTGGCTGGATGTGGGATGGTGTGTTTCTCATAGCTGTGTGAAGTCTGCCAAACATGAAGGAAGACTTCTGGCCAGTGACTCTCACGTATTGTGTGTATTGCTCACTGCGATGTGAGTCTATGGTACTTTGCACTATGAGATAATGTGTGTGGATATGTGTTCCTTGAAGCAGGAGTGCTAGAAATACAGCAGTGTTCTATTCCTTTTAAATATATTGCTCCAAAATGGAGGAAAATTATGAGTAAACAAAACAAAATAAAAACCACTTTGTAAGAAAGGAGATGCAGAAGGGTCCTGCACATGTGGAGGAAGGTTTATACGGTAGCATCCCATGGCATAAGCACTAGCCCCACCCCTCTGTGGCTCCGACATGGAATCTGAGCTCTGCGGAACTAGGTGCTAGCTAAGTGGGTAGGGGGTGTAGTCACAAGACAGTTTCTATGGGTTTTTTCTGTTCTTGGGGCAGCTCCGAGCAGAGATAACACCATTGCTTGACAAACTATGCAGGAGGTATGGTGGGCAGCAGGTGAAAGAAAAACCAGTGGCAGCATGCCAGGGTAGACTGCTGTTCTATCTGTGTTGTAGGGGTAGTTTAGAGGAAACATATGCTGAGATCCACAAAAACTGAGATCCCCCTTTATTTTCCCTCATGGATCCTCAGCCTCTGCAAGAAGAGATGTCTATGCCCCTGTTGAGCATTCCATTCTGCCCCCAAACTTTCCTGGAGGGGATGATGTGACAAGCAATGACTCAAAAAAGACCATGCAGTGATATGGATCAGTGTTTCATTTCACGCAGGCCATCAGACCCACCAAGGAATCTGGCTCAAAAAAGGGAGCATATGTCCATTAATGTCTGCTCATGGCCATGGTGTCCAATTGCTGCGAGAGATTTTTGTTGTGGAACCGTGGGCATGAACATCTTACACTAGAGACTATCTCAACAAACAGGTTTGATCTTTGTGGATACCAGGGCTGTCGTAACACTGTAACTGGGGATTCTATTGTATTTGAACTTGAGTGAACAGCCTACTTCTTTGTGTCTTCCTGCACTTTTTCTGTATTCCCCTGTGTTTGGATACCTATTTTATCCCTGTTTTTTTCTTTCTTCATTTATATTTGGATGTTTTCTAAGTTCATAAAACAGAAATTGTTAAGATGTAATAAAGTTAAAAAACCCTAACTTGTTGAAGACTAATTAACTATAGATTTAGTGCATACTGGAAATTTTCTGGATGATTTGCTTGCCATTTATTTTAATTATAGTAAAACCTTTTTAAGGGACCACTCAGGCAACAAGAAATAGCTTGTGGTGGTCTTCTAATAAAACCTGAGCAGCACGTATTCCATTATATCTGCAAACCCTTTGGAGCTGTCTCTTAAGACAGGAGGTTACCTAATAAGAGTGGTCTTGTGCACTGGCTTCCCAGTCATTATCTAGAATCAAGCATAAATAAATTATAAACTAAAATGAAAGTGGTTTCTAATTTATGTACTGAGTTATTTGTACATTCATGTCTTAGCTGTTGTCTTATGTCTAAACAGAAATTTTCAATTAAGGTATTTTAAAAATACTAACTAGATCCGTGTCTCATGTTATGTTAGCACTTAAAAATTTAACCTCAATATACTAAATTATGGCTGAAATTTTCAAACTTTGTTCCCAGTGTTACATTCCTTAGTCTGAAAAATCTGCTGCTGCTATTTAAAAGGAGATAATTACTTATAATGCTGTAGATGCAAGGACTCTGAAGGCAGGTAGTTGAGTTAATTTTTCCATTTTATTTTTAAAAATATAGACATGTGCCAGGATGTCTTACTGCAGAGTTGGTGTTCTGACCTGATAAAGAAGTGACCTTATCACAAAAAGAGCAGTTGAGCACCAATAGTTATTCTGGATGCTAGAGAAGCTTGTTCTCCCATTAAAAGGTTCTGATCATGTGTTAGTACTGGAATCACAAAGCCTTCTGGGATTCACAGACCTGCCCAGATTCATGTTACCTAGGTTTGTTCATTAACCAGAATTACACTGGAACAATGCAGACAAAGGTGACACTTTCCACTATTCAGTGCCATGGGTCCTTTGTGAGGAAAGAATAGGAATAAAGACATGAGGTGGATTTACGCATTAATGAACTCCTTATTTATCCCATTTCTGCAAAGAGATTCATAGGAACACGGGGGTCTTTCCACATAGATTTCTTTTCAGGATCAGTGCCTGCTTTTAGCTTAGACAATACACTCATGTACAGGGGTCACGTGTTCTTTACATGGGATAACACTGGTGTCAGGATGAAGTGCACATTTCAGTCATGTGGTTTGCTTCCAGTTTTATGATTATTATAAACCAAGTCTCCTCCTGCTGAATCCCCTGCCCATCACAAATGCCCAGTGATGTCAGAGGGAGCTCTAAGGCCCTAAATTCTACAAATCACTTCAGCATGTGCTTAATTTTGGGCACACAGATCAATTTGTGACCCTGTTATTCCCACTGGTGAATATTTACTCTCATGAATAGTACCAGTGAAGACAATGGATGCTATTTGTGTGACTAACTTCTTACCAGTGGAAATAAGGGGCTTGCAGTCTGACCCATAATTAGCCAAGTTGATTACAATGGGACTGCTTATGTGCTTAAAGTTAAGCACATGCTCAAGTGCTTTACTGCATAGGGGCCTAAGTGTCAGGAATACAAGGTCAGACACACCCTCTAATTCATCTTGCACTGGTGACCAGTTATTTGCATAAGGATTTGTAACTGCTCAATAGAAGTTTATATATTTGAAAGTTTTATGAGTAAGAAATTTAATGAACATTAGCATTTTTTCACTGATTTTCCATATAATTCTGATACATGAATCTCTCATGAAATTGTACATGTAAAGAATGAGATCCTGCAAAGTAATCTTGGGGAAGAGGAGACTCCTAGTTCGTGTTCTGACTTCAGCGGGACTTTGCACATTAGTAAGTGGTAATTATTACTTGAAGGCCCTTAAATAGTATCACATTCTGTAGAGGTAGCATTTTATGAGACACCAAATAATCACTGAGACACAGTTGCTTTTCTATTCTGCATTTTGTAGCTGTTTGGTTTCATCCACTCTCACTTTATCAGTCCAAAACAGGAGCTCACAAGTAAGAGTCTCCAGCACAGTTCACGTGCAATTTTCAGAAATGACGTGAAGGAACATTTCTTGGAACATCTAATCCTGCATCACACATTTTTACTCGTAGTTGTTCCTAATGGCACTGAATACTGGGAAGTTGCTCTTTTTTGTATCCTTTCCTCCAAGAGATCTTGGAGTTGTGGATAGTTCTCTGAAAACATCCACTCAATGTGCAGCGGCAGTGAAAAAGCGAACAGAATGCTGGGAATAATTAAGAAAGGGATAGATAATAGAACAGAAAATATCATGTTGCCTCTATATAAATCCATGGTACTCCCACATCTTGAACACTGTGTGCAGATGTGGTCGCCCCATCTCAAAAAAGATATATTGGAATTGGAAAAGGTTCAGAAAAGGGCAACAAAAATTATTAGAGGTATGGAACAGCTTCTGTATGAAGAGAGATTAATAAGACTGGACTTTTCAGCTTGGAAAAGAGACGGCTAAGGGGAGATATGATTGAGGTCTATAAAATCATGACTGGTGTAGAGAAAGTAGATAAGGAAGTGTTGTTTACTACTTCTCATAACACAAGAACTAGGGGTCACCAAATTAAATTAATAGGCAGCAGGTTTACAACAAATAAAAGGAAGTATTTCTTCATACAACACACAGTCAACCTGTGGAACTCCTTGCCAGAGGATGTTGTGAAGGCCAAGATCATAACAGAGTTCAAAAAAGAAGGAGATAAATTCATGAAGGATAGGTCCATCAATGGCTGTTAGCCAGGATGGGCAGCAATGGTGTCCCTAGCCTCTGTTTGCCATAAGCTGGGAGTAAGCAACAGGCGATGGATCACTTGATGATTGCCCATTTTGTTCTCTCTGAGGCACCTGACACCGGCCACTATCGGAAGACAGGATACTGGGCTAGATGGATCTTTGGTCTGACCCAGTAGGGACATTCTTATGTTCTAATTCTAGTAAAATCATAGTGCTGTAAGTTTGGGTAGATGTGTGAACTCCCCCAGATGTTTTTTTCTGAACAACTATGTTGACTTGAACTATGTTCAATTCTGACATTTAAAAGATACAAACATAGAGCCCAGTGCAGTCCCAGAGCATGGCACTCCGTGATGTGGCACTGCAGTCACCCCAATTCATTTGCTCCCATTCTTGGTTTTCTAGTCACCCATTCCCTCTCTTGTGGGCTGAATAATTGAGCCCTTACACAATAAATATAATTCCCCCAGCCTTCCCCTTCCCCTCCCCAACTTCAGTGCTTTCAATATACCCTGGCTTCAGGCTCTGGCTCTCTCTCAGCTCCCCGCTTCCTTCTGAGCAAGGGAGCTCTGATGGTCTCGCTTGGAGAGGCCTACTCCTGGGATAATTCCTACCCCTTTCCCTGGGCTCAGACTCCTTCTCTTGGGACAAGGTCTCCACAGCCCTCCTTCTTAGGGCTGTGTTTGAATCCCAGCCATTGATTTTATCAGAAGAAGGCTTTTCTTCTGACTCTAGGTTTTCATTGACTGAGCTCAGAATACTTCTTTTTAATCCTTAATGGTAGTCACATGATTCAGGCACCTGACCTTCCGCCCCATCCCATTTTAGTCAGGTGATCTTTACAAGATCTACATGTGCTTAAAGGGCACATGCTTTGGAATGGGACTGGCTTGTCCAATAGCCCATTACCCTTTTAGGATCTGTATATTTAATGGAGGTCATTGATGGTAGATTATTGTGAGATGCTGCTGGGAACAGTCCTCCAACAGAAGTATCCTGAATCATGAGAGATACTGTTCATCCCTTGAGTACAGGGATCAAATTTCCACACAAACAGTCATACAGCTGTGCACCAAGACAGCAGGATCTACATCTCCTGTACTGAGGTCTTGAGATTGCTCTTGCACGGCAAGCTCCCACCTTCGCCTACCTGGGCATGGCTGGTGAACATGTGGGTGCATTTGAGCTCAAATTCAGAAGCAAGCAAGAGAAAGTGTGCTAATGGCCAAATTTCATATTCTCTGAATTTGCCTGCACTCCCCGATATGTACCCCAACTCACTGAAAATCAAATGGCATTCTGTACACGCAGCATATAGCTGGGCTAGAATTACTGCCTTGTCTTTGGGCCTATCATTAGTTTCTACAGCTACACTTTTTGGAAGAGGCAATTCCTGTTTTTCAAACATTTAGACCCTTCCAGTTTGTTCTGCACAGGATATCCATGCACCTAGGGAGTTCTATCTTGGGGGATACGAGTACACATGCATGTTTGCATTTTTTGAAAATTTAATCCCAAACATTTTTTGTTGTATTGTCAGCACATGCACACATCTCAATAAAAGGGTTTGCTTTACTCCCTGAGTTTATCGCAGTTTTATTTGAAGATACTGCACGGGCTGTGTTCTAACCCAGACTGAGTCCATGTCCCTAAATCAGCGCAGCTGGAAAACTGGGCCAAAATTCTGGGAGGCACTCAGGTCCCACCCACAGAAGGCCCTAGATAGTTAGATTAGAAAGATTAGTAATATCAACTGCTATACCTGAGCTGAACTTTCTAATGTGGATGCAGGAGGTATTTTTAAACCCTTTATAGATAAATATATTAATTATTTTCATGAAATGCAGAATATTTTGGAAGGGACTGTGGTCCAGTGATTAGCTCAAGGGACTGCAATTGTTTTGTTGTATGATCTTCAAAACATTTTACCTCCTTGGGCCCCAGTTTTCCCATCTGCAAAATGAGGCTAATGATACATATCCATAATTATAAAGTGCTTTGAGATCTATGGATAAACATCACTCAATAAGTGTTAAATATCATTATATGGTCCTTATAATTTAAGCATTACTAAATGACTACACAGATCAGAACCTGTTTTTACATGTGATTTTGCCATTCAGTTGGTAGTTTTATATCTTTCATATGCTCTGCACAGTTCACTTTGAAATTCAGTGTATGAAATTGACTTCTGATAACGCCTGAAGTTTCATATGCTGCATGATGTGTTAGCCATTTTCAGCAGATAATTTATTACTTGGCCTGCTTCTTATTGGCTGATTAGAACTTCAGGAAGACACAGGGGCAGAGAGATAGTGAGTTTAGTCTGTTGCCTGAGGGTATAGAAATCACACATAGCTTGCTGGTTGGAGGGAACAAAGCAAGGAGTTTTGGTTTGTTTTCTGGGTGTTTTTCTCTGTGGTTAGATATTACAGGAGAAATGAAGATGTGCAAAACTATACTTCCTTGTATTCTATTACTGTTCGGTGAGTGAACATTTTTGTTTGTTTTACTTCTTTTTTTGTCAGTTATAAATGGCTTTTGCTTCAACTCATCTCCTGATTTTATGTAGACATTCATCCGATGAAGTGAGCTGTAGCTCACGAAAGCTTATGCTCAAATAAATTGGTTAGTCTCTAAGGTGCCACAAGTACTCCTTTTCTTTTTGCGAATACAGACTAACACGGCTGCTACTCTGAAACTAGAGCCCTATTACATATGAGTTAAATATCAATAATATACTGATGTGTAACTGCTATGTATTAATATATTGTATTACTAGAACTATTGCTGCATTTATTACACCTCCATCATTATGGTTTTGTAATCCATATGATCCAACTCATGTAATGGCGTGGCAAAACAGACAGATATGTTGCAAATGTAATGTAAATGGCACCACTGTAGTTACTAATCTTAAAAATATATGTATATGGTCATGTTATTGAAAAAGAAATCTATTGAAGGTACAAGAGAACCAATCACCAACATCTTTTTGCAACTTTAAACATTTTATTTTCACTAGCATGTGTCAAAAGTAAATGTTTAACTGATTACTAAATTAAATCTTAATACGGTTAGCATTGTGATGACAAATATCAGCACTGTGTCGCAGAGCTACTACAAAACAGAAAGTAAGTGCAGGCTATTTAGATATGAAGCACTTGTCTTCATGTTCCAAGAGCTTTGTCCCCCACACCGGTATCCACTAAATTGTAAACCCCAAAGTACTGTTGATTGCAGTAGTGGGAGTTGTAGTCTCTTGCTGTGAGAAACCATGGTCTCTCCCTTTGTGAGCTTTCATGAGTTTTCCACCACCCTTACCACTGGTGTTATTAGGACTTGGTTTTTGGGAGTTTGCAAGAAGTATTTGGTGGAGGAAGGAGGGGGGCAGTGGCCCTGCTCTAAGCCATGTCTAATGAAAGATTTTTAAATGTAGTGCTCGAAACGTGATTGCTTTTGGTGCAACTGAAAATTAATTACCCTTTATCCCCTGAATTTTGATCAAGTTTTTGCCTCCTTGATTACATAGGGCAAGATCCTTCCATATGCTGTATATGGTGTTGGTGCATATGAGGGGGAAAGGGAGCTTACTTTCCACCTCTTCCCTCACCCTACAAATGCAGTAGTATTGCAGGAACTCTACTTATCCCTCTGATGGGTGCTAGAAGGTGAGGGTGTCCGGACCATGCACCGGACTACCACATGGGAACATGGTCTCCTTTTTAGTGCACATACTACACTCAAGCATATGCTAGCTGAGAGTTCATGCTGTTCCTTTTCAAAGGAGTAGGCAGGTGTACCCAACTACACCTCCCTCAGGACTACCCCATGGAATTGTGCTCTGGCTAGCAGGATACTTGCGAAACAAGATGTGTGTGCCAGCACCCTTACCCTCCTTTGCAGCACTGACAGGACAAGATTTTGCTCTAACTACTGAACAACATCAACAGACTGCAAATGGGTGCAGCATATTCTGAATCTGGAGATCCACAACTGTTATGTGATATCTCAGCTAGGGAGGTAGAGTCCTTGCATTACTTGAATTGCCTTCCCTTATTGCAATCTCACAGACATATCACTATGATCCCCTTTTGATTAACTCTGTGAGTTATGTGTGATATCTGAGGATCCTGAAATAGCCCAGGAAGAACTTTCAAATTGGAGGGCAAGGCAATAGAAGCTGATTAGCATGTACACTAGAGGATGCAATTTTTTTTACTTAGCTGTATATCCAAGAAACTTTGCTGCAAAACCTAGCCCCATAAGCCATTTCAGAATGTATAATTCATGTGTGGGACTTCACTCATTACCATAAAGCATGGTTTGGTTTGGTTTTAATATCATGACTTAAATATTTTTAAGATGCATCCACATAATGTTGCAGCAATTTACAAAGTTCATTCCCTTCCATCACACTGGTATCCATTAAAAAGTCATATTAATGGGTTTGGGGCTTTTTGTTTTGTTTTTGTCATGACGTACTTATTGACAAAGGAGGACAGTTCTGAATGTAATAGTACATTTAAATAGTGCAGAAAGATTTGGGGTGTTGTACATTAACCAATGTTTCCTAATTATATTGTACGAATACTAACATAATTGTTCTCTATTCCACCAAATGGGTGAGAAATAAACTAAACTGTCTTCTGTGGCCCATGTATATTTCATCAGTCTCTTTATCTCAGAAGTTGAGTGCATTAATTGGAATCACTACCCTCTGTCAGATTCCCACACTGGAGTCAATGCTTCTGGTTTTGGAGGGTGACACTAAAATGGACACATTGACAAGATTTATGGAAAACCCCAGCACCACAAAAAGACTCTAATGTATTATCCAATAGGAATTTTTCCTTCTAGAAAACACTTCCATGTTGTTTTTCTTGTACATTTTCCCCAGTAGAGGTGAAAAGTATGTTACCTAACCTTATTAATGGAAATAACACCTTGGCTACACTCTAGTAGTAATTTTGATGTCAGAATATTGAGAAGTAAACCTAAATGAGCCCACGATTTTATAAAAAAACATATATTTGTTATTTCATTCTGTCACTGGCAGAGTTGCGTTCTGAACTTCTGCCACTGAATGACTTTGTTGCCTTGGACAAGTCATTTAAACTGTCTGTCTGGGCCTGATTATCAACTGCCTTACACCAGTTTAACTCCACTGACTCCAATGTAGATTTAAACTGGTGTAAATAAGAGAAAAATCAATCTCTCAGCTACCACAGTGATAAGCATGGCACATAGACCTTCTCCCTTAATTACACCATCATAAAATGGAGTAATGACGTTTGTCCAACTTTTTAAAAGTTCTAGCTAATCTGCTGTAACTGTCTCAAAGGTTTCTATAGTGCCTATGACTACAGTATTTAAGTAACTCTCCAGATGAAAAGTACTAGATGAATGTAAATTATTATTAAGTTGTGAGAAATATTTTGAGTACGTACTTAGCTTTAGAGTGACATGCACCAAAACAGGAATCTGATTGTGGTCTCTGAATTTCCCCAAACATGGCAATACTTGTCAATAGCTCCAATGTTTGCAATGTTTACAATAAAAGTGGAAAAACATGTAATTTATTCTATAGAAAAAGTGGAAGTAAACTAAGTTAACTTGCAGTATCAACTTGTAATATCACCACAATGATGGCTAGATACCAGACACTGTTTTATCTTGTTGCTTAATTTTCCATTGGTTTGTAATAATGCACTGCACATATAATTCAGAGATATTGCCATGACTGAAGCATGCTAAAAGGTAACAAAGCTCTCCCCAATATTTAAAATCAATGCGATGCCAATATGTGATATACATCAATATATTTTAAATTACATCCAAAGAATTATATTAAAGGAGCATTAAAATTGTAAAGTGAAGCACTCAAAAATGAGGAAATACCAGAGTTCAGGTTACCTGCACAAGCTTAATTTGCCCCCTTATGTGTATGCATTGTGATATAGTCTTTAATTACATGATAACATTCTATTTTTCCCCTACCTCATTCAGTGAATGAGAAGTTACTGAATATTTCTTTTAATTGTCTTCATTGATTGTGTGGCCATTGTTTAAATGCACACCATCCAAACCCTGCTCTGAGCACAAAATGAATTTCCTTAGGGACGTTTCTGTGGTACTCATCATTATAGTATCAGTGCTTCACAAACATTAATGAATTTATTTTCGCAACACCTCTGTGAGATTAATACCCCCATTTTACATAAGAACGGCTATACGGGGTCAGACCAAAGGTCCATCAAACCCAGTATCCTGTCCTCTGACTGTGGCCAATGGCAGGTGCCCCAAAGGGAATGAACAGACAGGTTTTCATCAAGTGATCCATGCCCTGTCATCCAATCCCAGCTTCTGGCAAACAGAGACTAGGGACACCATTGCTGCCCATCCTAGCTAATAGCCATTGATGGACCTATCCTTCAAGAATTTACCTTGCTCCCTTTTGAACCCCGTTACAGTATTGGCCTTCACAACACCCTCTGGCAAGGAGTTCCAGAGGTTGACAGTGCATTGTGTGAAAAAATACTTTCTTGTGTTTGATTTAAACCTGCTACCTATTAATTTCATTTGGTGGCCTCTTGTTCTTGTATTATGAGAAGGAGTAAATAACACTTCCTTATTTACTTTCTCTATACCACTCATGATTTTATAGACCTCTATCATATCCCCCCTTAGTCGCCTCTTTTCCAAGCTGAAAAGTCCCAGTCTTATTAATCTCTCCTCATATGGAACCCCTAATAATTTTTGTTGCCCTTTTCTGAATCTTTTCCAGTTCCAATATATCTTTTTTGAGATGGGGCGACCACATCTGCACCCAGTATTCAAGGTGTGGGCATGCCATGGATTTATATAGAGGCAATATGATATTTTCTATCTTATTATCTATCCCTTTCTTGATGATTCCCAACATTCTGTTTGCTTTTTTGACTGCCGCTGCACGTTGAATGGATGATTTCAGAGAACTATCCACAATGACGCCAAGATCTCTTTCCTGAGTGGTGATAGCTAATTTAGACCCCATCATTGTATATGTATAGTTAGGATTATGTTTTCCAATGTGCATTACTTTGCATTTATCAACATTACATTTCATCTGCCATTTTGTTGCCCAGTAACCCAGTTTTCTGAGATCCTTTTGTAATTCTTCGCAGTCTACCCGGGACTTAACTATCTTCAGTAGTTTTGTATCATCTGCAAATTTTGCCACCTCACTGTTTACCCCTTTTTCCAGATTGTTTATGAATATGTTAAATAGGACTGGGCCCAGTACAGATCCCTGGGGGACACCATTATTTACCTCTCTCTATTCTGAAAACTGACCATTTATTCCTACCCCTTGTTTCCTATCTTTTAACCAGTTACCAATCCATGAGAGAACCTTCCCTCTTATCCCATGACTGCTTATTTTGCTTAATCAAGTCCTAGTTATCTCAAGCTGGGGACTCAAAATTAGAGAGAACTTGACAATTTTGGCCTTAATCGCTCAGTTCCCCGTGTGTAAACAGTAACAAGTCTCCAGGACCAGATGGTATTCACCCAAGAGTTCTGAAGAAACTCAAATGTGAAATTGCAGGACTACTAACTGTCATCTGTAACCTATCATTTAAATCAGCTTCTGTACCAAATGACTGGAGGATAGCTAATGTGATGCCAATTTTTAAAAAGGGCTCCAGAGGTGACCCTGGCAACTACAGTCCAGTAAGCCTCACTTCAGTACTGGGCAAATTGTTGAAACTATCGTAAAGAACAAAATTGTCAGACACGTAGATGAACATCATTTGTTGGGAAATAGTCAACATGGTTTTTGTAAAGGGAAATCATGCCTTACCAATCTACTAGAATTCTTTGAGGGGGTCAACAAGCCTGCAGACAAAGGAGATCCGGTGGATATAGTGTATTTAGATTTTCAGAAAGCCTTTGACAAGGTCCCTCACTGGGACCTCACTGGGACCTTGTTTCACATTTCAAATTTCAAATTTGAGTTTCTTCAGAACTCTTGGGTGAATACCATCTGGTCCTGGAGACTTGTTACTGTTTACACACGGGGAACTGAGCGATTAAGGCCAAAATTGTCAAGTTCTCTCTAATTTTGAGTCCCCAGCTTGAGATAACTAGGACTTGATTTTTCAAAGACTTAGCATTAGATAGCACTTTATATGTTCTAAGCACAGCTCCCATTGACTTCAGCTGTAGTCATAAGTGCTCAGCACTTCTGCAAATCACACCCCATGAGTCACATTGGGCACCCAGAAAATGAGGAACGTGCTATTAGTGACCACCTGTGAAAAATGTAGTTTATATGACTTCTCCAGCATCACATAGGAAGATAGGGATAGAATCCAATCATCTCGGGTGGTATTCAGATTCCTTAGCTATGATTCTCTTCTGGTAATCCCCTGCCTTATTCACCTTCCCAATTCTGCAACAAGAGGCCAAGGTCTTACAGACAACAGCTTCATTCACTATACAGCTCTGATTCATCATCTGCTCCCCTCCCAGCTCCTTCTCCCTTCCCCTCTCTGCTCCTATCTGACCCCCCTAGTCCTGACCCCCTCCCTCTTGGTGCATATATGCCCCTCCAGATCCATTCCCTCTCCTCCTGTCTACCCTCATCAGCTCCTGACCACCTGCTCCTCTTCTTCTTCCCACCTATGGCCCCTGCATCCTGCTTTTCAGACCCCACAGCATTCCTCACCCTTCTTCATTATTCCAGTCAAGTCCATCTCCTCCTCTTCCACTCTGCTTGCTTACCATCAGGGGAAGCATTAATGCTGTGCTTTCATTAGGAAAAAAGCTGTGTTCTTAACTTGAGCTCACTAACTTCAGATAAAATTCTAGGGAAGACACAAGTGTTTGCTGTTTTTACACATGTTAGCAGGTCGAGCTAACGACTAGAACCTCACCTAGTAATCATAACTTCTCCTGGATATATAGCATAACTTTTAGGAAGGGATCTAGTCTTCATTTAAAGGAAAGGGATAGAAAATAAGACAGAAAATATAACGCCACTATATAAATCCATCTCAAAAAGGACATAGCAGAACTGAGAAAGGTTCAGAGAAGGGCAACAAAGATGACTGAAAGTATGGAATAGCTTAAGAGGAGAAACTAGAAAAATTAGGGCCGTTCAGCTTAGAAAAGAGACGACTAATGCAGGATATGACAGAGGTCTATAAAATCATGAATGGTGTGGAAAAAGTGAAAAGAGAAGTGTCATTTACCCTTTCCCACAATACAAAAACCAGGGGTCACCTGATGAAATTAATAAGCAGGTTTAATACAAACAAGAGGAAGTACTTTTTCACATAACACACAATTAACCTGTGGAACCCATTACCATGTGTTGTTGAGATGGCCAAAAGTATAACTGGCTTCAAAAAAGAACTAGATAAGTTCATAGAAATAGATCCATCAATAGCTATAGGTCAAGATGGTCAAGGATGCAACCCCAGGCTTGGGAAGAACTTGGGAAGTGCTTGGGGATTTCTATGGCCTGTGTTACACAGGAGATCAGACTAGATCAGTGATTCTTGAGCATTTGGTTGTTAAATTCGTTGGAACAGATTTCCACAGGAAACAAGCTTCTTCCAAAAGCTGCAAAGGCAATTAAGTTGTAGATGGGGACACCTGGGTTCAGTCTGGGTTTTGTCTGAGAGAATCCATGTTAAAACAAGACAGCACAACAAAAACTAAATGACAACTGAAGCCAGTGAAACAGTTTGATATCCTCCAGAGGAGGAATGCAACCAGAAACTAGCACTGTAACATCAAAGACTAGAAATGAGGATTTTAAAAAATAGTGGAGAAACTAATTAAAAAAACTCTAAAGTCTAAAATTAAACTAGAATCTGTAGACTCAGCATGGATGCCACTAAACATACTATAACAAAGTCACAGAGGACATGCCCACTCCTAAATAATGAAAAAAGGAGGAGGAAGGCAAGGAAAAAGCCCAGTATGTTTAAGCTATCAATCTATGGTATTTGTATGACACTTATTCCCATAGTATCTGAGCACCTCAGAATCTATTGGTTTTTTCTCACAATATTCCTGTGAGGTAGGGAAGTGCCATTACCCGGGGAGGTCAGGTAACTCCAGTGTCTGTCTTTAGGATATACAGTAAATGCTTGCTCTTTGAAAAAGCCTTTCCACCATAAGAAAGTGCTTGATCATAGTATATAAGTACATATGTGGGGAACAAATACTTGCTAATGGGATCTTCAATGTAGCAGACAAAGGTATAATAAAATCTAATAACTGGAAGCCGAAGCTAGAAAAATTCAGACTGGAATAAGGTGTACATTTTTAGCAGTGAGTGTAATTTACCATTGGAAAAATTTTGCAAAGGCTGTGGAGGATTCTCCAACACTGGCGATTTTTAAAATTAAGACTGGATGTTTTTTAAAAGCAGGGGGAGTAGTGCCAGCACTGAGTAATGACAGACAGTCTCTCTGCTCTTAGTTTTGGCGTCTGGCACCACAGCAGCTCTCAGTGGGCAGGAGGAGCAAGTGCAGCGCAAATCCTGCTCAGTTCCTGTAGCCCTGGGCATTCAGTGCACGCTGCTGAATGTGTGCAAACTGAGATTTTTCAGAGGTTTATAACTTAGCCAGATTTAGGCAGATTTTCACAGCGAGGGCAAAAGGCACAATCCCAGTACCAGTGTGACTCTATTCAAATATCAAGTCTTTGCTCCAAAGCATAGGGGGCTAGCCCATGTAGGAGAAAAGGATGTAAGAATATTTTTCACAGGGGTAAAATGTTGCTTAAATGGGCAAACACTTTAGCTGAAACTTTCCAAAAAGCTCAGCCTGAATCATTAAAGTTGGGCAAAGTTATAAGCAGCTGAAACCAGAGTCTTCTAAGGAAAGTGTCTGATAGAGTTAATAAAAGGCACTGCTATCAGCCCCACCAGTGATAATTTTTTTCCTTTAATATTATGTGTGCACAAGATTTAGGAGATGTGATGGCAGTGGAAGAGAACATCACTGAGGCGACCGTCCCAGACACGACGGGGAAGACGACGGTAGCGCCCGTCACGGAGGCGACCGTCCCAGAGACGATGGGGGAAACGACGGTGGCCATAGTGCATAAGGACAACAATTTAGTCAACCTGCCTTTGGGGCCAGGTCTGTTTTTTTTAACTCATTATTTCCTTACAATGTTGAATCCGTTCTCCCCTCACTATGCACACTCTAGTCCTGTTAAGTCACTATTTTCTGCTCTTCCTGCCACTCCTGCAGTGATGGACTCTTGCAAATTTCCCCCTCAAATCAGATTTCTTCCTCAAAGTCACATTGCTTAGACAGAAAAGAACTAAGGGTTTTCTTTGCCCATTCATCCTTCCTAGTGCAATGAGATGGTACAAGGCTCCTTTTCTTAACTGCTGTTAAGACCTGCTGCTTAAATCACCATTCAAGAAGGTGCCGTGAAGGTGCCCTTAAAATGCCTGCACTACAGTCTTAGAGATTCAGCAAAGATCTTGCTATCCCCAGTTTCAGAAAGTGCAGGGCTCAGTCCAGGTTTAAGCTAAGCAGTCCTTTGCGGCCTGATGCAGCTTCTGTTATATCAAGGTAATTTTGGCCAGAGTGTACTTGCTGGCCAAAGAGCTAATAATGCCTCAGTGATTTGATTTGAGGAAGTAACTGCAGTATTATAAACCTCATTGAGACATTGATTATACTCTCGTCACATCTTCAAGCTTTTCTTTGCAATCATCAATTTTAAAAATGTAGACTCTAAGACAACACAGGATTTTAGTAATGAGCCCTCAGCCTGTGCCTCTTGTGTCTAGCCCTTAATCTGGCTCACAGAAGGCAGGAGGTAGCAGCAGAACCCAACTGTCAGGGTAGGTGGAGGAGACAGGGGAGCTATGGAAAGCAGCTGGAGCTATTTGTGAGGAACAGATGGGTTACTGAGGGGAACTAAGGAGAGGAAGCAGGAGCTGTTGAGAGGGAGCAGGAATGATGGGGAGCAGAAACCATTGAGGACAGGAGATATGAAGTGAGCTCAGAGGGGATATGAGCTGCGGGAGGAGTAGGAGTTGCTGTGTGGGAAATGACCTAACGGGAGAACAGAATATGGGGGAATGGGGCTAATGTCACTGTGTCGTTACCCCCTCTCCCCCAGCTTCACTCCAATAACTCACAGACTCCATCCTTCCAATGAACTGTGATCCCTTGGTTATCCTTGGCTCTCCACAAAGCTGCTTCTGAGGTCCCCACAAGACCTCCCCCGTCTTCTGAGTGATGTAAGAAATAAAGTCCTGCCTCCCCAAACCTGCTCCTGCTGCTTTAGAGGGAATCTTGTAAGGGAAATCTGGTGTCAAACCAATGCCTTTCACAAGCACTAATGCCACAATTTGTATGGAAGTTTGTGCCTGTATGCAAACTATGTATATCTATGCAAATTAACTTAAGTAACAATTTACATAAAATCACAGAGCTTCACGAAGCTTGAGAGCTATGCTCTTGTCATGGTAGGGCCTCAAAGCCAGAGTTAGATGGGTTTTTTGAGGTGTATTGTTCTCCTCCAGCAGCTTTTAGAACTGTTCTGCTTGCCCTGCAGATGGCTGCTGGATTTCCTTCCCCCATCCCAGCTGTCTGCTCTGTGCTTCTCACTGCACCATACCTGAGGCAGAGAGTGGAGTAACCAGAAGAAAGTCAGGAAGGAGAAGTGACATCAGGCCGCACCCTCGTGCTCCTCTCCACCTGAACCCACACTGTCAGGATCCACCTTACCTCATTAGTAACAGAGTATTATTAATAGTTTTTTGTATTACAGTGGAGCTGAAGGCTACTGTCAGGATTGGGGCCTCATTGCACTAAGTGCTGTATGAACATGTAAGGAGAAACAGTCCCTGCCCCAGAGAGCTTATAGTCTAGACAAAAGAAAGATGTAGGGAGGGTGAAATGGGATGCAGCATACAAGCAAAATGCTCAGCGTGAATATAAGCACGCAGTAATTAATAGCTGGAAGGGAACTTACTAACTGTGACAGAGAAGTCGCATGTTATTATTTGTTTCTGGTAGCACCCACATCATGCTAGATGCTGTACAAGCACAAAAGAAAGCGAGGCCCCTGCCTCCAAAGAGCCTATTTTTCCCCTCAAAATTAAATTTGTTGTTTTTTTTTGTTTTTTTTCCATAGAGAAAGAACAGCAATTATCTGGACTAGGTATGTCAACAACTTTAATATGTATATTTCGACTTTCCAATAGGCTTCCCATGTCTTTCTCACTGCTGGGTTTCTTTTACCATTGCAAGTTTTGAAGAACAGACATTAAGACTGGATGTTTTTTAAAAGTTATGTTTTAGTTCAAAAGGATTTTTGGCGGGAGCGGGGAGGATTTCTATGGCCTGTGTTACACAGGAGATCAGACTAGATCAGTGGTTCTCAAACTATTGTACTGGTGACCCCTTTCACATAGCAAGCCTCTGAGTGCGACCCACCCCCTTATAAATTAAAAACACTTCTTTATATATTAAACACCATTATAAATGCTGGAGCCAAAGCGGAGTTCGTGGTGGAGGCTGACAGCTCATGACCCCCCATGTAATAACCTCACGACCCCCTGAGGGGTCCTGACCCCCCAGTTTGAGAACCCCTGGACTAGATGATCACAGTGGTCCCTTCTGGCCTTAGAATCTATGAATAAGAATGCTCACGACACTAATCCCCTTATGTACTCTTAAGCTGTCCCAAGCAGTTTTGACCCCAAAAGCGAGAAGAGTCAATGACTCCATGAAATCTATAGGGGCTTTGTTATGGCGATTGATTTCACGTGGTAGGCACTTAGCTTTTATACTGCTGCCTATCACCATAGTATCTAAGATAAAAAGTTCCCCAGTTCAGGGATGGGGATCTGATCCCAGAGGTCCAGATCAAAGGTCTTTAGGCACTGATCTGCCTCTTTAGGTGCCTAAGTCATGTAGGCACCATAGCATATAGCTGGGTCTAGCAGCACTGGGGCACAATGCTCCTTGGAGACAGTAAGGCAGATTGGCTCCAGCTCCAACCTTCAAAAGGGGCCAGCATGTGCTTCTGCCTTTATCAATGCAGATCTGCTGGTTGTGGTAGAAGGTTGAAGAAGACATTGTCAAATACATTTTTTTCATATTTATAAGTAAAATACATGGCGACAGTTGAAGATAATCAATGACAAAACTCCTGTTGACTTTACTAGGGGCAGGATTTTACCCAAGGTAGACATTTAACTATTTCAAACATAGATTGATTTAATTTTTCATGCAGTGATGCCAGGTGAATCTTTCTCATCGCATTACTCACTATAGACAATGCTATAGATAAAATTGTATTTGATGTACATTATATATGAATTGTTTTACTTGTCTTCCTGTAGAGTATCATTTATATTTGACTGCCATTTCAATAATAAAATATAATAATTTACCATGACATTCTTTTTCTACTTCTTTCCCCTCATTACATTTTGGGTTCTGTCTCTGTCTCTCTCTCTTTCAGTGTAATCCAGTGTTTGTTGTCCCTCTGGTTAACTTTTCCTTCCTTCTACTTATCTAAATTTCTCTCTTCTTTCATCCCCTTTCCGTTCTTCAGAAAGAGGAGCCCCCTTGTGCATACACTGAATGAGGCAGAGCTCTTGTGGAAATAGTAATGTGTGATTAAAGTGTGTATAATGCTGCTTACATGCAAGAAAGATGAATTCAACCTGACTTCTGGTATTTCCTAACTTTTACAAGCTAGACTTTGCACCTTTAACATTCTTTTAACATAGATTTTTGTAGGTACTTTCCTATACTTTTAAAAGCACAAACAAACCTCAACAAAACTATCATGTGGAACAATACTGACTCTCCTATTTGTCATTAGCAGGTTTGTAACCTTTAGGGCCACAGCATAGAACTCTAAAATACGAACTAATGGGATAACTGCTAGCAGTAATAGGTTGTTATCTGCTATGTGAACCAGCCACTAGATGGGATCAGACATGCACTTTACCAGTGGGTTTTGCAGTTATTTGCTAGACAGCAATGGAATGATGACATAAGGAAATCCTGGGTTGCAGTCCAGGTTCTGGAAGGGAGTGTGCTGCAGTGGTTACAGGCCTTGCTGCAGTTCTGTCTGTCCCTGTCCTTTAGCATGTATCCCACAGTTTGTCTCCTCCCCACCTTCATCTTATTCCCTACCCCTTCCCACAGCCCATCTCTGCTCCTCTGTTCTGACTTCTTCCCAGCCCAGCTCTGGCCCTTCAGGATTTGAGTCAGGCAGCTTTCACCTTTCCTGGGGGCCAGCAGGGGGAGTAGTGCCAGCACTGAGTAATGACAGACAGTCTCTCTGCTCTCAGTTTTGGCGTCTGGCACCACAGCAGCTCTCAGTGGGCAGGAGGAGCAAGTGCAGCGCAAATCCTGCTCAGTTCCTGTAGCCCTGGGCATTCAGTGCACGCTGCTGAATGTGTGCAAACTGAGATTTTTCAGAGGTTTATAACTTAGCCAGATTTAGGCAGATTTTCACAGCGAGGGCAAAAGGCACAATCCCAGTACCAGTGTGACTCTATTCAAATATCAAGTCTTTGCTCCAAAGCATAGGGGGCTAGCCCATGTAGGAGAAAAGGATGTAAGAATATTTTTCACAGGGGTAAAATGTTGCTTAAATGGGCAAACACTTTAGCTGAAACTTTCCAAAAAGCTCAGCCTGAATCATTAAAGTTGGGCAAAGTTATAAGCAGCTGAAACCAGAGTCTTCTAAGGAAAGTGTCTGATAGAGTTAATAAAAGGCACTGCTATCAGCCCCACCAGTGATAATTTTTTTCCTTTAATATTATGTGTGCACAAGATTTAGGAGATGTGATGGCAGTGGAAGAGAACATCACTGAGGCGACCGTCCCAGACACGACGGGGAAGACGACGGTAGCGCCCGTCACGGAGGCGACCGTCCCAGAGACGATGGGGGAAACGACGGAGGTCATAGTGCATAAGGACAACAATTTAGTCAACCTGCCTTTGGGGCCAGGTCTGTTTTTTTTAACTCATTATTTCCTTACAATGTTGAATCCGTTCTCCCCTCACTATGCACACTCTAGTCCTGTTAAGTCACTATTTTCTGCTCTTCCTGCCACTCCTGCAGTGATGGACTCTTGCAAATTTCCCCCTCAAATCAGATTTCTTCCTCCAAGGCACATTGCTTAGACAGAAAAGAACTAAGGGTTTTCTTTGCCCATTCATCCTTCCTAGTGCAATGAGATGGTACAAGGCTCCTTTTCTTAACTGCTGTTAAGACCTGCTGCTTAAATCACCATTCAAGAAGGTGCCGTGAAGGTGCCCTTAAAATGCCTGCACTACAGTCTTAGAGATTCAGCAAAGATCTTGCTATCCCCAGTTTCAGAAAGTGCAGGGCTCAGTCCAGGTTTAAGCTAAGCAGTCCTTTGCGGCCTGATGCAGCTTCTGTTATATCAAGGTAATTTTGGCCAGAGTGTACTTGCTGGCCAAAGAGCTAATAATGCCTCAGTGATTTGATTTGAGGAAGTAACTGCAGTATTATAAACCTCATTGAGACATTGATTATACTCTCGTCACATCTTCAAGCTTTTCTTTGCAATCATCAATTTTAAAAATGTAGACTCTAAGACAACACAGGATTTTAGTAATGAGCCCTCAGCCTGTGCCTCTTGTGTCTAGCCCTTAATCTGGCTCACAGAAGGCAGGAGGTAGCAGCAGAACCCAACTGTCAGGGTAGGTGGAGGAGACAGGGGAGCTATGGAAAGCAGCTGGAGCTATTTGTGAGGAACAGATGGGTTACTGAGGGGAACTAAGGAGAGGAAGCAGGAGCTGTTGAGAGGGAGCAGGAATGATGGGGAGCAGAAACCATTGAGGACAGGAGATATGAAGTGAGCTCAGAGGGGATATGAGCTGCGGGAGGAGTAGGAGTTGCTGTGTGGGAAATGACCTAACGGGAGAACAGAATATGGGGGAATGGGGCTAATGTCACTGTGTCGTTACCCCCTCTCCCCCAGCTTCACTCCAATAACTCACAGACTCCATCCTTCCAATGAACTGTGATCCCTTGGTTATCCTTGGCTCTCCACAAAGCTGCTTCTGAGGTCCCCACAAGACCTCCCCCGTCTTCTGAGTGATGTAAGAAATAAAGTCCTGCCTCCCCAAACCTGCTCCTGCTGCTTTAGAGGGAATCTTGTAAGGGAAATCTGGTGTCAAACCAATGCCTTTCACAAGCACTAATGCCACAATTTGTATGGAAGTTTGTGCCTGTATGCAAACTATGTATATCTATGCAAATTAACTTAAGTAACAATTTACATAAAATCACAGAGCTTCACGAAGCTTGAGAGCTATGCTCTTGTCATGGTAGGGCCTCAAAGCCAGAGTTAGATGGGTTTTTTGAGGTGTATTGTTCTCCTCCAGCAGCTTTTAGAACTGTTCTGCTTGCCCTGCAGATGGCTGCTGGATTTCCTTCCCCCATCCCAGCTGTCTGCTCTGTGCTTCTCACTGCACCATACCTGAGGCAGAGAGTGGAGTAACCAGAAGAAAGTCAGGAAGGAGAAGTGACATCAGGCCGCACCCTCGTGCTCCTCTCCACCTGAACCCACACTGTCAGGATCCACCTTACCTCATTAGTAACAGAGTATTATTAATAGTTTTTTGTATTACAGTGGAGCTGAAGGCTACTGTCAGGATTGGGGCCTCATTGCACTAAGTGCTGTATGAACATGTAAGGAGAAACAGTCCCTGCCCCAGAGAGCTTATAGTCTAGACAAAAGAAAGATGTAGGGAGGGTGAAATGGGATGCAGCATACAAGCAAAATGCTCAGCGTGAATATAAGCACGCAGTAATTAATAGCTGGAAGGGAACTTACTAACTGTGACAGAGAAGTCGCATGTTATTATTTGTTTCTGGTAGCACCCACATCATGCTAGATGCTGTACAAGCACAAAAGAAAGCGAGGCCCCTGCCTCCAAAGAGCCTATTTTTCCCCTCAAAATTAAATTTGTTGTTTTTTTTTGTTTTTTTTCCATAGAGAAAGAACAGCAATTATCTGGACTAGGTATGTCAACAACTTTAATATGTATATTTCGACTTTCCAATAGGCTTCCCATGTCTTTCTCACTGCTGGGTTTCTTTTACCATTGCAAGTTTTGAAGAACAGACATTAAGACTGGATGTTTTTTAAAAGTTATGTTTTAGTTCAAAAGGATTTTTGGCGGGAGCGGGGAGGATTTCTATGGCCTGTGTTACACAGGAGATCAGACTAGATCAGTGGTTCTCAAACTATTGTACTGGTGACCCCTTTCACATAGCAAGCCTCTGAGTGCGACCCACCCCCTTATAAATTAAAAACACTTCTTTATATATTAAACACCATTATAAATGCTGGAGCCAAAGCGGAGTTCGTGGTGGAGGCTGACAGCTCATGACCCCCCATGTAATAACCTCACGACCCCCTGAGGGGTCCTGACCCCCCAGTTTGAGAACCCCTGGACTAGATGATCACAGTGGTCCCTTCTGGCCTTAGAATCTATGAATAAGAATGCTCACGACACTAATCCCCTTATGTACTCTTAATCTGTCCCAAGCAGTTTTGACCCCAAAAGCGAGAAGAGTCAATGACTCCATGAAATCTATAGGGGCTTTGTTATGGCGATTGATTTCACGTGGTAGGCACTTAGCTTTTATACTGCTGCCTATCACCATAGTATCTAAGATAAAAAGTTCCCCAGTTCAGGGATGGGGATCTGATCCCAGAGGTCCAGATCAAAGGTCTTTAGGCACTGATCTGCCTCTTTAGGTGCCTAAGTCATGTAGGCACCATAGCATATAGCTGGGTCTAGCAGCACTGGGGCACAATGCTCCTTGGAGACAGTAAGGCAGATTGGCTCCAGCTCCAACCTTCAAAAGGGGCCAGCATGTGCTTCTGCCTTTATCAATGCAGATCTGCTGGTTGTGGTAGAAGGTGGAAGAAGACATTGCCAAATACATTTTTTTCATATTTATAAGTAAAATACATGGGGACAGTTGAAGATAATCAATGACAAAACTCCTGTTGACTTTACTAGGGGCAGGATTTTACCCAAGGTAGATATTTAACTATTTCAAACATAGATTGATTTAATTTTTCATGCAGTGATGCCAGGTGAATCTTTCTCATCGCATTACTCACTATAGACAATGCTATAGATAAAATTGTATTTGATGTACATTATATATGAATTGTTTTACTTGTCTTCCTGTAGAGTATCATTTATATTTGACTGCCATTTCAATAATAAAATATAATAATTTACCATGACATTCTTTTTCTACTTCTTTTCCCTCATTACATTTTGGGTTCTGTCTCTGTCTCTCTCTCTTTCAGTGTAATCCAGTGTTTGTTGTCCCTCTGGTTAACTTTTCCTTCCTTCTACTTATCTAAATTTCTCTCTTCTTTCATCCCCTTTCCGTTCTTCATAAAGAGGAGTGCATACACTGAATGAGGCAGAGCTCTTGTGGAAATAGTAATGTGTGATTAAAGTGTGTATAATGCTGCTTACATGCAAGAAAGATGAATTCAACCTGACTTCTGGTATTTCCTAACTTTTACAAGCTAGACTTTGCACCTTTAACATTCTTTTAACATAGATTTTTGTAGGTACTTTCCTATACTTTTAAAAGCACAAACAAACCTCAACAAAACTATCATGTGGAACAATACTGACTCTCCTATTTGTCATTAGCAGGATTGTAACCTTTAGGGCCACAGCATAGAACTCTAAAATACGAACTAATGGGATAACTGCTAGCAGTAATAGGTTGTTATCTGCTATGTGAACCAGCCACTAGATGGGATCAGACATGCACTTTACCAGTGGGTTTTGCAGTTATTTGCTAGACAGCAATGGAATGATGACATAAGGAAATCCTGGGTTGCAGTCCAGGTTCTGGAAGGGAGTGTGCTGCAGTGGTTACAGGCCTTGCTGCAGTTCTGTCTGTCCCTGTCCTTTAGCATGTATCCCACAGTTTGTCTCCTCCCCACCTTCATCTTATTCCCTACCCCTTCCCACAGCCCATCTCTGCTCCTCTGTTCTGACTTCTTCCCAGCCCAGCTCTGGCCCTTCAGGATTTGAGTCAGGCAGCTTTCACCTTTCCTGGGGGCCAGCAGGGGGAGTAGTGCCAGCACTGAGTAATGACAGACAGTCTCTCTGCTCTCAGTTTTGGCATCTGGCACCACAGCAGCTCTCAGTGGGCAGGAGGAGCAAGTGCAGCGCAAATCCTGCTCAGTTCCTGTAGCCCTGGGCATTCAGTGCACGCTGCTGAATGTGTGCAAACTGAGATTTTTCAGAGGTTTATAACTTAGCCAGATTTAGGCAGATTTTCACAGCAAGGGCAAAAGGCACAATCCCAGTACCAGTGTGACTCTATTCAAATATCAAGTCTTTGCTCCAAAGCATAGGGGGCTAGCCCATGTAGGAGAAAAGGATGTAAGAATATTTTTCACAGGGGTAAAATGTTGCTTAAATGGGCAAACACTTTAGCTGAAACTTTCCAAAAAGCTCAGCCTGAATCATTAAAGTTGGGCAAAGTTATAAGCAGCTGAAACCAGAGTCTTCTAAGGAAAGTGTCTGATAGAGTTAATAAAAGGCACTGCTATCAGCCCCACCAGTGATAATTTTTTTTCCTTTAATATTATGTGTGCACAAGATTTAGGAGATGTGATGGCAGTGGAAGAGAACATCATTGAGGCGACCGTCCCAGACACGACGGGGGAAGACGACGGTAGCGCCCGTCACGGAGGCGACCGTCCCAGAGACGATGGGGGAAACGACGGAGGTCATAGTGCATAAGGACAACAATTTAGTCAACCTGCCTTTGGGGCCAGGTCTGTTTTTTTTAACTCATTATTTCCTTACAATGTTGAATCCGTTCTCCCCTCACTATGCACACTCTAGTCCTGTTAAGTCACTATTTTCTGCTCTTCCTGCCTCTCCTGCAGTGATGGACTCTTGCAAATTTCCCCCTCAAATCAGATTTCTTCCTCCAAGGCACATTGCTTAGACAGAAAAGAACTAAGGGTTTTCTTTGCCCATTCATCCTTCCTAGTGCAATGAGATGGTACAAGGCTCCTTTTCTTAACTGCTGTTAAGACCTGCTGCTTAAATCACCATTCAAGAAGGTGCCGTGAAGGTGCCCTTAAAATGCCTGCACTACAGTCTTAGAGATTCAGCAAAGATCTTGCTATCCCCAGTTTCAGAAAGTGCAGGGCTCAGTCCAGGTTTAAGCTAAGCAGTCCTTTGCGGCCTGATGCAGCTTCTGTTATATCAAGGTAATTTTGGCCAGAGTGTACTTGCTGGCCAAAGAGCTAATAATGCCTCAGTGATTTGATTTGAGGAAGTAACTGCAGTATTATAAACCTCATTGAGACATTGATTATACTCTCGTCACATCTTCAAGCTTTTCTTTGCAATCATCAATTTTAAAAATGTAGACTCTAAGACAACACAGGATTTTAGTAATGAGCCCTCAGCCTGTGCCTCTTGTGTCTAGCCCTTAATCTGGCTCACAGAGGGCAGGAGGTAGCAGCAGAACCCAACTGTCAGGGTAGGTGGAGGAGACAGGGGAGCTACGGAAAGCAGCTGGAGCTATTTGTGAGGAACAGATGGGTTACTGAGGGGAACTAAGGAGAGGAAGCAGGAGCTGTTGAGAGGGAGCAGGAATGATGGGGAGCAGAAACCATTGAGGACAGGAGATATGAAGTGAGCTCAGAGGGGATATGAGCTGCGGGAGGAGTAGGAGTTGCTGTGTGGGAAATGACCTAACGGGAGAACAGAATATGGGGGAATGGGGCTAATGTCACTGTGTCGTTACCCCCTCTCCCCCAGCTTCACTCCAATAACTCACAGACTCCATCCTTCCAATGAACTGTGATCCCTTGGTTATCCTTGGCTCTCCACAAAGCTGCTTCTGAGGTCCCCACAAGACCTCCCCCGTCTTCTGAGTGATGTAAGAAATAAAGTCCTGCCTCCCCAAACCTGCTCCTGCTGCTTTAGAGGGAATCTTGTAAGGGAAATCTGGTGTCAAACCAATGCCTTTCACAAGCACTAATGCCACAATTTGTATGGAAGTTTGTGCCTGTATGCAAACTATGTATATCTATGCAAATTAACTTAAGTAACAATTTACATAAAATCACAGAGCTTCACGAAGCTTGAGAGCTATGCTCTTGTCATGGTAGGGCCTCAAAGCCAGAGTTAGATGGGTTTTTTGAGGTGTATTGTTCTCCTCCAGCAGCTTTTAGAACTGTTCTGCTTGCCCTGCAGATGGCTGCTGGATTTCCTTCCCCCATCCCAGCTGTCTGCTCTGTGCTTCTCACTGCACCATACCTGAGGCAGAGAGTGGAGTAACCAGAAGAAAGTCAGGAAGGAGAAGTGACATCAGGCCGCACCCTCGTGCTCCTCTCCACCTGAACCCACACTGTCAGGATCCACCTTACCTCATTAGTAACAGAGTATTATTAATAGTTTTTTGTATTACAGTGGAGCTGAAGGCTACTGTCAGGATTGGGGCCTCATTGCACTAAGTGCTGTATGAACATGTAAGGAGAAACAGTCCCTGCCCCAGAGAGCTTATAGTCTAGACAAAAGAAAGATGTAGGGAGGGTGAAATGGGATGCAGCATACAAGCAAAATGCTCAGCGTGAATATAAGCACGCAGTAATTAATAGCTGGAAGGGAACTTACTAACTGTGACAGAGAAGTCGCATGTTATTATTTGTTTCTGGTAGCACCCACATCATGCTAGATGCTGTACAAGCACAACAGAAAGCGAGGCCCCTGCCTCCAAAGAGCCTATTTTTCCCCTCAAAATTAAATTTGTTGTTTTTTTTTGTTTTTTTTTCCATAGAGAAAGAACAGCAATTATCTGGACTAGGTATGTCAACAACTTTAATATGTATATTTCGACTTTCCAATAGGCTTCCCATGTCTTTCTCACTGCTGGGTTTCTTTTACCATTGCAAGTTTTGAAGAACAGACATTAAGACTGGATGTTTTTTAAAAGTTATGTTTTAGTTCA